TCCTGCTGACCGGTGTCTGAGTTTCTAATTGGGAGAACACAATATCCATCTTTCTTGCCCGCACTGGCATTTCACTCTGGTACAGGGGACTGAGCATGAGCTGCACCTACTGCTCCTTACTTTGCACACATTGCATCCTTCCTGGGCAGGAATGGTTTCCCTCAGTGGAGCGCTTTGAGAACATCAAAGCAACCAATCATCATGTCCCAGAAAAGAGCACTTCCCAATTCTATGCATTTACATTTCTAGAATGTTCCTCTGGTAAACCTTTAGTAAGTAGGGACAAGCAGCCTAACAGTTCACCCCCCAATTCTGGCTGAATGTAGAATACAACACAGGTCAAAGCTTCAGGAAAAATCTGGTTCTTGAAACCTCAGAAGCTTTTGCAGGGCTGAACGTGGTCAAAATGATAGGACAGCAGAGCATATAATTATGTTTAGTCTTAGAAAAGTGAGGAAAACCCATGGAACCAGGTGGTGGCACAGTGGTTAACACAACCAAACCCACAGGCAAAAGGCCTGGGGTTTGCATCCTAGGACCTTCCCAAGCATGCTGGGCAGGCGTGTGCATGCCATAATCCGGGCCGGCTGAGACTGGGATGGATTGCGGCGTGAAGACCCCGCTGGGCCCTTTCTCTCTCCTGCTTTCTCTGATGAAATAAATTAATAAACTTTAAAAAAAGAAAAAGCAGAGACCAGTAGATGGCATAGCAGTTACATTGCTGGATTCCCACATAGTAGACCACGGTTCGAGTCCCGGACCCAGTGGCTTAAAACTTACACTGTGTGTGTGTGCTTGCGTGCCCAAAATCCTGAGAGGAGAATGGAGGAGAAAGGATTGTAATGTGGCTATCCCTGGGAGGTGATTTCTCGCTTTCTGTCTCTTTGTCTCTGTCTCTCCAGCAAGCATACACATCCTATAGCAAAATATCTCCCTTCCCCCAAAAAAGAAAAAGAAAACCAGTTTTTTTAATAAAGGGATGTGAGCTAAGTCTGCTTTTCTCACTCCCAGGGTTGCAGACGGGACTTTTATGAATTACTGAAGCAGCTGTTTCCATTAAAGTTTCGTCAGGGCTCTCCCATCCTTTCCTCCCACAGGATTCTTGACTTGGAGAAGGTCTCTAGGCCCAGAAGGGATGTCTTGGCCTCATGTGGACTGCTCCAATTACAAAAACAATGTTTTGGATTGATAAGTGACCTATCGGTCTAATAGTCAATGACCGTGTGCATGCACATGTGTGTGTATGCACACAAGCATGTGTGTCTATTTTAATTAGGAGGGACATTTAGGGCCACAGATGGCAATAAGGCTTCAGTAATAACAATAGAATGAAAAGCATGCCCACATCTGAATCTCCTCATTTATTTTTCTCTCTTCTTTTGGGGGGAATATTTAGCCAGCATAACCAATGGTTAGAAAATATTATATTTAGAACTGTTGTCAGGTAATTTAATGTAACATCACTTCCTTCAATTCTTAAGTAGCCAGAAAAGTTTAAAAAGGTCTGTTTAATTACCTGTTCCTCTGAGCTAACTTTACTTTCTTCTGATGACTCATTGCCTTCCTGAAAGAAAAAAGCAATGTTTATTTTTTATTTTATTTTAAAATTTGGTATAAGGTGCATGTGCATGTCAAAAAAAAAGAGAGAGAAGGAAAATGAGAAAGCATCCCCAAGAGGGATGACCACACCACAATTTCTTCTCCTCCATTTTTCTCTCAGGATTTTTAGCATGCACACACATATGCTTAGCATGTTTCCCGGGTCGCCAGGTCTGGGACTTGAACCACACAGTCAGCCATGTGGGATCCAGCCCCCTCAATCACCATGCCACCGACTGGCCCTTATTTTTTCTTTTAATAATTCCTCAGGGAAGAAAATATTATACACATTGGTTGCTTACAGTTTGGATTTACCACTTTCAAAATGGTAAAAAGCAGTGGGAAGAAAATTAAAAGTTATTTCACAATATGTTTACGATAAAAATAAATGAAATAGTTACCATGACTGGTGTTGGTTTTGCCGGAGTTAAATGGCCCTGCAAAAACCAGAAAAACAAGTGACTCCCTCATAGAAAAACCACATTGTTGCAAATATGTAGAGTAATTGGAGGTTATTTTTTTAGTTTCTTGGTATATATTTTACATTGACATGAATAACAATAAAGTTTTATGATGAAATGTCAAAAAATGAAGGTTAGATATCTAATAGCCTGAAAAGATTTGTGCATATAAAGGACCTAGAAGGTTTTTAGATTTCTGATACTTCTCTTACTATACTTTCTTTGAAGATGGTTTGTTCAAACAAACTAGAGGAAACGAAAGAAAAATTGCACTGAGTTCAGAATCCTGATCAAAGTCTCAATTAACTCATTGCTTTTTTTTTTTTTTTCTTAAAGAGATTTTTGCTACAGGGCACATGTGCTTGCTGGAGACACAGAGAGAGACAGAAAAAGAGATAATGAGAAACCAACCCCAAGGGGGGATGGCCACTCTGCAATCCCGTTTCTTCTATTCTCCTTTCAGGATTTTGGGCATGCATACACACATGCCCAGCAAGAGTTTCAAGCTACCGGGTTCAGGGCTTGAACCACAGTTGACAATGTGAGAGTTCAGCACCTTAACTACTATGTCACCTGCTGACTCTGGTTTTTGTTTTGACTCTGAAAACCAACCATCTTAGTGTTAGCAATGAAAGTTGTGTTCCAGGAAACCCCTAAATCTTTGGTAAACCACGTCTGTGAATGTGGGCAGTTCATTTTACACATCTGGCTATTCGTTTCTTATTCACAAAGTAAGAAAATGAGTACCCATTATGCATACTCCACCAGGTTACTTTGAGGGTGAACTCAACTAATAACTATGGAAGCACCTCATGAACTATTTGGTGTGATGTAAGTAACAGAAATGATCTGTGTTGAGAACATTCACTTTATAAAATTCAATAGTAGACAAACTTGAATGGAGAAAGCCATTAAGCCTTGGTTGAATCACATAAGAGTGCTGGTATCAAGAACAAATGTGAACCTGAAATTCAACCATTCATAGCTCTGATTTATCTTGGGCTCCTTAGTCTCATAAGAACTCTAACAATGGTTGGGCATCTTCTCATGTCCCACCCCAACCCCACCTGCCCTCCCACGTCTCTTTGACCAGGGCAAGGTCCTGGGTGGAATACCCAAAGTGAAAAACAGAGCAGAAACAAGCAGCTATTGGTGTGTCTCGCAGCAGCGCTAGGCTGAGGACGTTTCCCCAGAAAAAGGAGCTACAACCACTCAAGTGTTTGCCCAGGGACCTTGCGGGCAAGTACAACGGCAGACTCTACCCCAGTTACTATCGTTTCAAATTGAAGAGTGGAAGGGAGGAAGACATTGGCTTGGCATATTTCTCATGTCAAGTCCAGGCTTAAGGAAAGGGCATATTTGTGAGTCTCTGGTTAAATGAGAGAGAGGCTTGACAATGGCTGCTTTTAGATTAATCAGCTTATGGCTATCTCTGCTGAAAGTTCATAATAAATCCTTCAATGTCTATTCCACCCTCAGGCAGGGCCAAGACCACCTCTCAGGCCTCTGACATGATCAGACTACCACTGAAAGCACTGGACCCAAGCTGCCCCATATCCAAAAGGTAGCAGCAAACAAAATTATAAACAAAATTCTGATTTAGGAAAAGATTTTTAACCCTTATTTCCAGTACCAATCTTGAGAATTTACTGATCTTTCAGAACTGGCCCTTTCCTGAGAGGGATGTAGTGCACTCATTAAGAATGTGGATTCTGGGAGCCAGAAGGTGGCGTGGTGGTTAAGGTGCTGGACTCCCACATGATTGACCATGGTTCGAGTCCAGAACATGGTGACTTGAAAAGCACACCAGGCATGTGTGCATGGATGCCCAAGATCCCAGGAGAAGGGAGAGAAGGGACTGCAAAATGGCCATAACCCCTTGGCAATGAGGGGGTGTGATTTCTCACCTTTCCCCCACTATCTTTCTCTGTCTCTCTCTGGAAGGCATATGCATCTTATGGCAAAAACTTTTTAAAAATGTGGATTCTGAAGCTAGAGTGACATAAATTTAAAGTCTGTTGCTAGCATTATTGACCGTAGAATCTAGAATTACTAAGTTATTCTGTGCCTCAGTTTTCTCATCCATAAAATGGAAATCAAAGCACAACCCCTAATTCATCAAGTTGTTATGAAGATTAAGAAAGTTAATATGTATAAAGCACTTAGTGTCATGCCTGGTAGGGATTCTTGCGTTATTGAGAGTTAACAACCATCGACTGATTGAAAGTCAATATTCAATATTAACATTAGCTATCACCCCAGAGATTCTAGCATTTTCTCATCCTCCTTTCCTTTCTCATCTCCCAGGACTTGACCCCCTGCCTACTAGACATCTCCTGTTAAAGCAGGTTTTGAGTCCTTATCACTCCAGACAGTCTTAGTCCATCATTATCCATCCCCTTGCTTTACTGTACCCATCCATCACAAAAAAAAAAGAGCTGAAAGAAAGCATTTCCTCACCACGTTACGCTATTAAGTCAAGCCATTATTTTCTACATGGACTAGAAATTACAGTTCACACTACCTACAGTGTGGGTTATTACTGTACTCACTATTAGTACTTCCAACGTTCGCCATGGAGTCATTTTGATTATACTAATAATATATCGAAATTAAAATATTTTGAAGAGTTATAGTGCTACTCACCTTCCATTCTTCAGAGCTCTCAGATTCAATATTTTGGTACCTTGCTACCTAGAAAAGTTAAGGCACATGGTAAGCGACAGAGAAATTTCTGCAGCAGCAGCTGTTGACACTTCACATACTTAAGAGTGGTGACGGGCCCCAGCATCCTCATTAATTCACAGACTGCTGTACCTCTCTCTTATACAGTTTGGTCTATCAGGTCTCAGGGACCACCCAAGACTTGGCTTTTTTAAATTTGCTTTTGCTTTTTTTTTTTTTTTCCGAAGGGTGCATACACCCACAGGAGAGAGACAGAGAGAGAGGAGAGAGGGAGAAAGTGAGAAATCACCGCCCCCCCATGGGAGGAAGTCATGCTGCAATCCCTTCTCCATTTCTCCTTTTAGGATTTCGAGCATGCATGCATATGTGTCTGGTGTGTGCTTCAGATCATTGGGTCTAGGACTTGAACTGCATAGTCAACCACATGGGATGCCTTAACCTCCCCACCTCCAGCTGACCCTGAACTGGTGTTTTTAACAAAGCTCTAGTCGGTGCTAGTGCTGTGTTGGGATGTCACTTTGAGAATCACTGCTTACGGGAAAGAAAAATGAGAATCATGGCCATGTTCATGGCAACTAAACAGGATAAGGAATAACTTGGATGATATTTTAAAGAAAGCAGCTTTCTAAGAAACTACTATTTTTATCAGATTGGAACATAGACAGCCATTTGGTCCACAGCCGATGAAAATTGTGCAGTTGCAAATACAAAAGGGCATTTCATCCCCACCCTGATACTTACTGGAAGAGCGCAGGCTACTCCCAAAAGGAACATGAGCAGGACGCTGGTCCTCATGGTCAGCTGTGACACCTCTACCTGTAAGGAAGGACACAGATGTTCTCCTCTCAGTCTGTTGTGTTGCTATCACAGAAATGCTGGAGAACGGGAGATATAAAGAAAAGAGGTTTATTTGGTTCACGATTCTGGTGACTGCAAAGCACAAAGGCATGAGATGCCATCTGGCCAGCCTCTGGTGTTACATTTCAACATGACCGAGAGAAGCAGAGAGCAGTTGCGTGCAAAGAGGGAGAGACCTGAGGGCAGCCGACTCACTTCTGTAACAACTCACATGCCCAGGAACTAAGTAATAAGAACCTGCTCCCTCCTGAACCCTGTATCAATTTATGAGAGACCCACCTCTATGTCCCAGACTGCTGCCATTAGGCTCCATGTCCCCAACACTGTCCTACTGGGAGTCAAGTTATAGCATAAGTTTTGATGAGGCCACAACACTCAAACCATAGCATTCCCTTGCTAAAGAACTAAAGTAATTTTAACTTTTTAACAGTTTTTTTCCTATTAAAAAAAAAGTTCTTCTAAAATGCCTATCAACTGATGAATGGGTAGATAAAATACCCTGTATCTATATATACAGCAGAATATTATACAACCATAAAAAGGATGGAGTACTGATACATGCTACAAAGTAGTAGACTCTTGAAAACTTCATGCTAAATTAATGAAGCCAGACTCAAAAGACCACAAGTGTATGATTCCGTTTATCTGAACTATACCAAATAGGCAAATTTATAGAGACAGAAAGTGGATTGGCTGTTGCCCAGGCTTGGGAAAATAGAGGGGTGGGGTGGTGACTAAAGGTACAGGATTTCTTTAGGAAGTGGTAAAAATGGTCCAAAGTTGATTGTGTTGAAGGCTGTATGACTCGGTGCAATTTTTAAAACCATTAAACTGCAGACTTCAAATGGGTGAAGTATGTTTTATATAAACTATATCTCAATACAGCTATTAATAAAAATTATCCCTCCAGGAGATAAATTAAAGACTTCTCAATGAGGAGATCTATACATACGTCTTCACTGCACATAAAATATGAGTGAAGGAAACAGTAGACAGGATAACTGTGTAAGATACTGCATTAGTGAATTAGCTAGAGTTTACCATCTCACAATGTACATATACTTGAAAACATCACATTGAACACACAAAAAAATACACCGTTATTTGTCTATTTTAAATAAGTGAGAAAGGAGGATCATCAAAGTTCTGGCCATTCGCTTTTATAATAATGATGCAGCTTGGTATGGCAGATAAAACTAGAAAATTTATTTTCCCTAAAAACATTATACTTATTGGAGGCTGGCAGGTGGTATGGTGGTTAAGGGTGCTGGACTCCCACATGGCTGACTGTGGTTCGAGTTTCGGACCTGGTGGGTTGCTTTCTCACTTTCTCCCTCTCTCTCTCTCTCTCTCTCTGGTCAAATTAAAATAAATAAATAAAATAACATTAAATAAATAATTATTGGGAAAAATTACACTCAATTGGTACTACTGATAGGTGGCGGGCATTAATCTTCACAACATGCATGCACACACACACGAGTAAGTGTCTAAGTCATGTTGGTAACTGCCTCATAATGCCTAGACTAAATAGATTGCTTTTGCATTTTTTTCCTGGACCTACAAGAGGCACGCTACAGCAGGCTTCGTATTACAGCTCCAGAAAGCTCTTAATAACTGCTGTGATGTAACAGCCATACATCAGCCATATGTATGACTAAATTCTTTCATAGTCACTCATAGTACTAAAGGATCAAGGAAAAGTGAGAGGTTTGGGACACACTTGCGAATCCGGCTGAGAGACACAGGCCAAATCAAACTCTGGAGGATATCTTCATTTCACACTTTGAGAACTGGCGATTTGAAAAACGTGTTCTGTATCTAAAAACAGATGGGCTAAATGCTAATGGAAAAAGTTACTGAAGTGACTGAAAGAAAAACAATTCCACTGCGCTAGTAAAAACCTTGTTTCTGCCCTAACATACTTACTTGATAGACTTCCACACTTCTTTTTTCTTTTTCTTTCTTTTTTTGGGGGGTAGGGGTTGCTATAGGGTTATACATTCACTGAAGAGAAACAGAGAAAAAGAGAAAGTGAGTAATCACCCGTCAGAGGGATGGCAACGACACAATCTCTTCTCCTCCATTCTCTGCTCGAGATTTTGGGCACTCATGCACATAGACCCTGCATTGTTTTTCAAGCCACTGGGTCCAGGACTCAAACCTCTCAGTCAGCAGTGTGGGATCCAGCAGCCTTAACCTCTATGCCACCTACTGGCCTACCCTTTATATTTTGATATTACCTTAGTTTGTTTTTCAAATCTTTTTCCTAATACCAACAAAGAAAAACATGTTAATATTAAACTTCTCCTAAGACAAGCTAAATTCATGTTACTTCCCTATAGTTCTCATGATCAAAACATATTTTTTAAAAGTTCTCAGGCTCATTTCTTTTTTAAAAAAAAGAATTATTTATTTTATTTTATTTATTTATTATTTATATATACATATTTTTTTAATTTGCAGAGAGAGAGAATGTAAGAAAGCAAGCCACTGGGCCCGGGACTTGAACTGCAGTTGGCCAAGTGGGAGTCCAGTGCCTTAACCACCACTCTACCTACTGGCCCCTCAGGTTAATTTCTTAAGGAAAGCAAAACTTTCCCAAATATTATATTCTCTTAATAACTGCGTACCAATGATTTCAGCTTCATAGGTCAAATGTAAATTAAACAACTCATCATTTTAATTTTTTAAGTAAAATTTAAATAGGGTGGTAATCTCATGATGCTCTGAACACTAGTAATTGATAAAAGGTCTTGTATTTTCTTTAGCTTCCCTATTATCAAAGCTTTTATTGTCACCATTGTTTTCAGTTTGCTATTGGATGTACATGCTTGCTTGGAGGAAGAGACAAGGGAAGGAAGCACCCTCCAGCGGAGATGACCAGGCCACAAACCCTGTTACTTTGTGCTCCACTCTGGATTTTGGGCATACATGCACATGTGCCTGGCATCTATTTTAAGCATCTGGGTTCAGGACTCAAATCACACAGCTGGCCATTTGGGATCCAGTCACTTTAACCAGCACACCACCAACTGGCCTCTAAAGAGTTTTAAAATTAGGGGAGGCCATTTTGCATTTATTCTAAACCAATGAATGTTGTGTTTCTTTTATCAGTAAAATGTGTGTTTCCAGTGTCCAAGCTTCTTAGGGCTAGACTATTAGGAAACATAAAAAAGATGCACTAACTGGGACCAGCAGTTAGTGTAATGGCTATGTCACTGGACTCCCACGTAGTCAACCGCGGTTCAAGTCCCAGATCCAGTGGCTTAAACTCATGCCGGGCGCATGTGCGTGCATGCCCAAGATCCCAAGAAGAGAACGGAGGAGAAGGGATTGTGGCATGGCCATCCCCCCTGGGGGGTGATTTCTTGCTTTCTGTTTCTCTGTCTCTCTCTGTCTGTCCGGCGAGCGCAGGCGCCCTATAGCAGAAAACCTCCCCAAAATAAGAAAAGAAAAGAAAAAAAAAGATGCACTAACTCACTCAGGTTTCTAGAAATACCATTTAGCATCCTGACCTAAAGCAATAATTGGACATCTTGTAAACTAAAGTATAAGACACCTTCAAATCCTGAGAGAGCTGATGTTGCTTCCAAAGAACATAGTCCAAACCTAAACACTGAAGAAAGTTAGATGTTAAATCCTATATTAGATTTTCAATTAGTATTTTTGTTAAGAATAATCATACTTTTGTGAGGTGTATTTCTAAATGAGAGCTTCTCATTTTATACAGTTTTTAGTTACTAACCCAAAAAGAGGAGAAGCAGATGTATAGTAGCCCTGTTATGAGTAATAAATTAGCAAAATACCCTCAAAATGATAAGTCCAGAACCTCAAGCTCATCATCACAGGTTGGTTAATGTTATTGCTCCATTCTACACGCGGTTATCCTATAAGAGCATGTAGCAGGAAGAAATCAACAGCCTTGATTTTAGTTCTACCTTATCAGAAAAGAGTGTATTAGAGACTTTCAACGCTTCTGAATTGCTCTCCCAGAGTTGAAAACATCAGTGTTTGGGATCTGGGGAACAGAATTATAGCCCAGATTTTGAGAGTAACCAAAACTACCTTGGGATATCAAGTAAGGAATTTTTTTCTGAAATTTCCTCAAAAGTGAAGATTCACTTGTAAGGTGTGTATCTTCTTTTATATATAAGCTGAAATGAAAGAACTAGGCCAAATGGAAAAAATAAAAGTCAGATAAGTTACAGGCTCTTTCTTTACCACTTGGAAAACAATTTTTCATGTTCTTTGCTTATTTAGTCTTAGTATTGTTATCCTGGAGAGTATCAATGAACAATTTATGCACTCATTAGCAGTCAACAAATATTGAGAATACTTTATATGCCAGGTACTGTTCCAGGTATAAGTATACAGCAGTGTGTAATAATAATAATAATAATGATACTGGTTTTATCCCCCCAAAATGTGTATTTTGTAAAACTTCTGGATAATTATAATCCAGTGAACCAGAACCTGTTGGGAGTTGTTTCATTATTACTCTGAACATACAGTAGAATTTTGCCAGGATGTGAATGCTATTAAGAATTCAGAGAGGGGCCAGCAGGTGATGTGGTGGTTAAGGCACTGTACTGCCACATGGCCAACTGTGGTTTGAGTCCTAGATCAGGCAGCTTGCTTTCTTACTTTCCCTCTCTCTCTGTTTCTCTATGTTGAGCACACATGCCCTGTAGCAAATTTAAAATGATAATAATAAATAAAAATAAAATAAATAATTTTTATAAAGAGAGAACCAAACAAATAAACCATGAAAAAATTCCAACCCTTTCTACCATACCATAATTGTATTGAAGTCGACTGTAATTCATCCAATGTTATATGCCTTCAACCACAGTAAAATAGCGCTGAAGGTGCCCCAAAGTTAAATATAAG